CGCCGAACCCGCAGCTCGCGGGTCCTGGCTCGGCCCCCGCGCAACGCTTAGCTCCCAGACAACCAAGCTGATTTTCCTCATTTGGCACCGAACGAACTTCTTTCAAACTAAAGCATCGAAATCTCCTGAATGAAGTAAAACGAAAACATGTTCCTACAGAATAGTCCCAACTGTTCTGTATCCCAAAGCCGAGAAGGCCCACGGCTCGGCCCTGGCGGGTTTCGGAGGTCTCGGTTGCAAGTCCTCAGCTCCGCGGCCTCGCTCTCCTGCCTCCGGGTCGGGCTTGGTGCTCCGAGGAGATGCAGCGTCTCCCGCACTCTCCTCCAACCTTGGAGCCCAGAATGGGACTCGCACCCCGCTAAGGCCCAGGGTGGCCCGCTGGTTCCCGCCGGCCGCTCCGTTCTCGGCAGCGAACCCCGAGCTCTGATCCGGACCAGCCGCTGCCTGACCCGGCCTGGAACCTAGTCCCGGACGAGGAACCGGGAGCTCCGGACACACAAGCCGCCTTAGGCCTTAAAGCCGGAAGAAAACTGCAGTCCCCGACCACTCAAGCCTTTGACTCAGCCACGGAGAATTCAGGCCTCAGGCTCACCCTCTTCCCCCGAACTTCAGGATCGGGGTCCTTGTTCGATGCTGTAACCCAGTTCCTTCCCCAAACAGACATCCTCCGAATTTATTTCTGGGAGCTTGGGTCCCAAGTGAATGTATCCCCTGAACAAATTTCAGGGAGATTCAAGAGAAGGAGGTGTATTTCTAGAAGGCCTGGATTTCTTTCCTGGACGCTGGCTTTCATCTCAGATGAGGGAGAAAGAGGATCACTCTATCTAAACATAGGGCAAATGAGAAAGAAGCCTTATAATAGGAGAGGGTCTGATAGGCAGAAATGGGCTCTTTTAGGAACAGCAACCACAGGTGGGGTCTCCCAGGCAGTAGTAAGGGGGCAGAGGAGAGACAACAGGAAACACGGTGGGGAAGCAATGGTGTGTATGTTGAGGGAGAGGGGATCGCTGACATAAAGCCGAGTCCCATGACTGTCTCCGTCTTTCCCCTCCTCGCAGGAGGATGTTTCCTCCCTTCAAGGTGCGAGTCAGCGGCCTGGACAAGAAGGCCAAATATATCCTGCTGATGGACATTGTGGCCGCTGATGATTGCCGGTATAAATTTCATAACTCGCGCTGGATGGTGGCGGGCAAAGCTGACCCAGAGATGCCCAAACGCATGTACATCCACCCGGACAGCCCAGCCACAGGAGAGCAGTGGATGGCCAAGCCAGTGGCCTTCCACAAGCTGAAGCTGACCAACAACATCTCTGACAAGCACGGCTTTGTGAGTGCAGGGCGGACGTGCAGATGGGGGTCGAGGACTTCAGCACCCGGCAAGGCTGAGGGTGGGTGGAGAGGAGAGGAGGCGGCGGGATTCTCCAGAGGGGAGTGCTTGCCAAACCTCCAGCGTGCCCCCACCCAGGTCACTGCCCTGTGGCCTATGATGGCTGGGCCTGGGCCCACAGGGCTCTGCTCTGCAAGCCTGGAGAACGATGTGTCTGAACCTGATAAACTCTAGGCTGCTCACAATCTCAGCTTCTGTCAGGCCTTGGAAAGCCCCTCCTAGAGTCTAGCGGTGGAGGCAGGTGCGGGACTGGGTCGTGCAGCCGCTGGTCTTTTTTTAGGTCCTGAGCTTGGAAGACTTTACGCAGGACCTCAGCTTGTCCTCACCCTCCCCAAGACCCTTGTTCCCACCCCTCTCCCCAAATGAGGAGGTTTAAAAGTTAAAACAGTCATCTCCACACCTTTTCTGAGACTCCTTTCCCTCCTCCCACAGGCTGATGCCCAACCAGGAGGAGGGAGTTTGGAGTTCTCTCCGTTTCTGCCAGACCCAGGGCCCCAGCAAATGGGAGGGGGGAGTTCATGGGGCAAAAGGGACTGCCCATTTGGAGGTAGGACAGTCGGTGTGCCCTGGAAGGTTCCAATCTTCTCTCCCTGGGATTACTAGGGACTTAGCAGTGAGCCCAGGAAGAGAGGTTAAGGATGGAGTTGTAGGGCTTTTTAATTTTGTTTTATTTCTGTTTTTCAACTGGGGTAAATTTTTTAATGGAGAGGAAAACTAGGATAAAGAAAATTGAGAGGAAAAAAACAAAAGAAAAGGAAATATAGGGGAGAAAAGGCAGAGAAGACAGCAAACGGGAAGTGTAGGGGGCGGTGGAGAAGACAGAAATGTGAAAGAGACAGAGATGGAAAGAGGTCGGGTCCCCAGAGAATAAAAATGCTCGGGTCATAGTTGAGGGGCTGCCGGCTGACCCGTGTCCTCCCCACAGACCATCCTGAACTCCATGCACAAGTATCAACCACGCTTCCATATCGTGCGAGCCAACGACATCCTGAAGCTGCCCTACAGCACCTTCCGCACCTACGTGTTCCCAGAGACCGACTTCATCGCGGTCACTGCCTACCAGAACGACAAGGTGCGCCGGGAGTGCGGCGGGCCCAGCCCTTGCACCGATGCCCTCTCCCACATGTGGGCTCCAACTCTCCACTCACACCTGCCCGCAGCCCACCCCCGCCCCCGCACCCACCGTGCGCCCTCACGGCCCATTCCCGAGCACCAAGCCTCGCATCTGTGAGCGCAGCGCCCACTGAAATCCCTTGGCAGCTCTTTCAAGTCCGGGACACATATGCATACTCACCCCCAGGCCCGTGAACAGCTGGGCCCTCCGTTGGGGTGGGGATGTTTACTTAGCAATTAGCCGAGTCTCCGGGCCCGTGCTGACATTTTTTAGTTTTTATTCGTTTATTTCTTGGCTCAGGGGTGGGAATTTAAATGAAGAGAGGGTGCCCGAGGCAATATGCCCAGGCTCTCCTGCTGCTAAGAACCCAATGCTAGGAACCAGGGGTCCCAGTTTTCACCTTCCTGGGGGAGACAGACGGCGGGACAGGTGACACAGCACGCCCCCAACATCCTTCTCTGGGTCAGTCCAGGCCCAGGACCCCTTCAGAGGTGCTTAGAGACTCCCTTCAAGTTAAAGGGCTTTTTCTGATTGCTGCCTTTCTACACCCTCTCTCTAGAGGGCCAGAGCACCACCCAACTCGCCCTGTGTCCTTGTGCACCACTCTCAGATGAACGACAGTTTCTGAGTGTCCTGGGAGTCGTTTTTTCTTTCTTTGTGAACTGATGTGTCTGAGCGGGTTTGCGTGCACCTTTTGGAGCGCCTTGGATCCATGTGGAGGCTTGTGAATTTGTCTGGTTCCCTGGACACTTGTTTTGCCTGTGTACTTGCGTGTGTGAGGGCCCGTGAGTGTGTTACCTTTGCGTATGTCTATGGACCTGCGTGTGTTCCGTCTGCAGTCTGTGCATGTCTGCTCCGGTGCTGGGTTGGTTTAACGTGAGTAGCCATGTGGGCTTGTGTGCATGCTTGGGCAGATTTCGACTCTGGTCTCACAGCTTTGGGCCTGTATATGCAAGTTGAGGGATTATGTCTCAAATAAAGATTTTGCAGGAGAGACCTTGTCACTTTCCTCCAGGCCCGGGCGCCGGCCTCACCTTGCCCTCTGGCTGGGAGTGTCCCATCCCAGGCAGGAGAGTTAAATGTCTACACCCTGGAGTCTCCTCTGGGTGGGCAGCCGCTGACTTCCCGGCTGGAAGAGCGGCATTTTGACCTGATGCCACCCTCTTGGTCCCCGCAGATCACGCAGCTAAAGATCGACAACAACCCGTTTGCCAAGGGTTTCCGGGACACCGGGAATGGTCGGCGGGAGAAAAGGTGAGGATTCACGAGACCGCCCTGCGGCCGGTGCCTGGGTAACAGGACGTGGAGGGTGTGCGCTGCGCTCTGACCCGCTCCCTCCGCTCATCCCCAGGAAGCAGCTGACACTGCCGTCGTTGCGCTTGTACGAGGAGCACTGCAAGCCGGAGCGCGACGGCGCCGAGTCGGACGCCTCGTCCTGCGACCCTCCCCCGGCACGGGAACCGCCGCCCTCCCCCGGGACAGCGCCTAGTCCTCTGCGCCTACATCGGACCAGAGGTGCGGGTCGGGCGGGGGGAGGGGAGGGGAGGGTGTCCTTCGGGCGCCGGGTTGGCTCCGTGCTCAGCATCTGTCTAACTTAAGGCCTGGGGGAAGCGTCAGCAGGGTGTCTGGGATGGGCCTCTAAGCTCGGAATCCCCTTGAGGGCGGTCCCAAGTGGCCAGCAGATGAGGCTGGGCTCCTAGCTAGGGCCCTGGCGCTGGGTGACTCTGTGGCAGTAAAGTCTCAGCTATAGGGCTCACTTTCTCCCGTTGTAAACAAGGGGTTTTGGATGAGGTGACCTGCAGCTGCTCCCTGCCCGATGACGATCTAGGAGCTCCTTCCGACTTGGCCTCCTGGAGAGCAGGCTTCTGCACATCTCTCCAGCCGGGTCCAGACACCGAGAGAGGCTTGGCTCCTGTCTCTCTCCGGGCTGTAACCCTACGCGTCCATTCTTCCCGCAGCCGAGGAGAAGTCCTGCGCTGCGGACAGCGACCCAGAGCACGAGAGGCTGAGCGAGGAGCGCGCGGGGCCGGTGCTCGGCCGCAGCCCGGCCCTGGA